TGGCAAAGAACAAGGCACCAGGAATTGATGGAATAAAAATTGAAATCTTTCAGGAAAGTGAGGCCCCACAAGAGGCACTCACTCATCTCTGCCAAGAAATTTGGAAGACAACTATCTGGCCGACTGATTGGAGGAGATCCATATTTGTGTCCATTCCAAGGAGAGGTGACCCAACGGAATGCGGAAATCGTCAGACGATCTCTTTGATATCTCAAGCGAGTAAAATTTTGCTAAAAGTAAGACAGAAATGGCTACAATCACACATTGACAGAGAACTTCCAGAGGTTCAAGCTGTATTCAGAACAGGCCGTGGAATGAGAGATATCATTGCTGATGTCCGGTGGATCTTGGCTGAAAGCAGAGAAATTCAGAAAGATGTTTACCTGTGCTTTATTGACTACGTAAAGGCTTTCGATTGTGTGGATCATGACAAGCTATGGACAACATTCAGATATTTTATCAGGAGGGACTAGTTCCCTGGAGAAGGATACTATGATTGATAAAGTGGAGGGTCATTGAAAAAGGAAGAACCCCTCTTGGCCGTTTTCCAATCAGATTGGCACAATGTCAGCAGCAATGTACTTAAGCATAAGAACAATTGTGAGGATAGCACAGGACTGGGCAGTGTATTGCTCTGTTATATATACAGTTGCTTTGAGTCAGATCAGACTCAATGGCACTTAACAACACCCAATCACTTGGTGGGAGTTAAGACTTTAGAGGAGTCCTGGTATGGATTTAGGATAAGCACTGACTTCTAACAACAAGGTTGACAGTTCACTCTCCCACCACTCCTCACAAACCCTATACGGGGTTGCTAAGAATTGGAACCAACTCCATTGCACTTAACAATAGTGACAACAAGGTTCTATATAGAAAAGTCATGCAAGTAAATTCAATGTGTACCACAGGTCTTTTCATGTGATCTACTTATTTCAACCCAAACTTCATACTTTTCTCTCCCTGTTGTTGGACTTAGTGAAAAGTACTAAAGAACTAAGGAAATTATAGAATATGATGAAAAAGATACAAGTCTTATAATTAGGGTTGCTGTTAGCGGGAAATATCTGCTGATAATGGAATTAATATCTCACTGTTTTCTGTGCATCACTGTGAGAAATGAATTATAAATAACAGTGTACTAGATCGATGTGTCAATTTGTTGTACTGTGATGTCTTACATTTTGCTGTAATGCTGGAATCCATTAGTCTGGATACCAGCAGGGTCACACATGGTGGACAGTTTGTAGCATAGCTTCCAGACAAACAAGTCCTAGGAAGATGGAGAGGGGCACCACTTCTGAAAGGGTAGCCACTGACAACCTTACAAATAGCAGCAGTACATTGCCTGACACAGTGCTGGAGGATGAGGCACTCAGGTTAGAAGTCACCACAGAATAACTACTGGAGAAGAGCTCCCACATAAATGTGGAGTCCACTTTTTTTGGTTTTTGGGTTGTTTTTTGGGTTTTTTTTTGGCATGGATGGAACAAAGCTTTCAGAACTTTCATTTGCTGATGGGACAGGACTCAAAATGAGAAGAAATACCTGCCAACATCCACTAATAATTAGGATGTGGAATGTATGAAGTGTGAATCTAGGAAAATTAGAAGTCATTCAAAAATGGAGTGAAACATAAAGATCGATGTATTAGGCATTATTGAGCTGAAACGGTCTTTTATTGGCCATTTTCCAGTCAGACAATCATATGGTTTACTATGCTGGCAATGACCAACTAAAAAGGAATGGCATCTCATTCATCGTCAAAAAGAACATTTAAAAATCTATCTCGAATTATAGTGCTGTCTGTGATAGAACAATCCATATGCCTACAAGAAGACCAGTTAGTACAATTATTATACAAAATGTCATTGCACCTTAATGTAAAATAAAATGAAAATCCTCTCAACTGGACCAATAAATAACATCATGATAAAATTAATTGGTCAAAGTTCAACCGTTTCAAGAGTTAGCATATGATCAATAACCAATGGTAGTGAAGGAAGAAGTTCAAGCTGCATTGAAGGTATTGGGGAAAAATAAGGCTCCAGGAATTGATGGACTACAAATTGATATGTTTCAACAAACTGATGCAATGATGGAGGCACTCATTTGTGTATGGCAAGAAATTTGAAAGACAGCTACCAGGCTAAACAATAGGAAGAGATCCATATTTGTGCTCATTCCAAAGAAAGGTGACCTTACAGAATATGGAAATTATTGAACAATGAAATTAATATCACATACAAGTAATTTTTTTGAATATGATTTAAAAATATATAGTTTGCACCTGTACATAGATTGTTGTTGTTAAATATCATGGAGTCAGTTCCGACTCATAGTGACCCTGCACAGGGTTTCCAAGGCTGTAAATCTTTACTGGAGCAGAAATGCTGATCTTTCTCCCACGAAACAGCTGGTAGTTTTGAACTGCTGACTTTGAGGTTCGCAGCCCAATTCATAACCACTACGCTACCATAGGTGCCAGAAATTCAAGCCAGATTTTTTTTTTCTTAAATGTTTTATTGTGAATTATGTGATAGTTTACATGGGAGAACATTGGTTTTACATTCATTCTATTCATTCTATCGTATATCGTCTCATTGCTATGGTTACAATCCCTCCATGCATCATCAACCCACCAAAGGGTATACCCTGCAATCCTTCCCCCGTACCACCCAGGTCTTCAGCACACAGTCGCTCTTCCTCTCTGGATCTAAAGTCTCCAGCTGCTCCATTGCTCCACGTCATCATCTCTGCCTCCATTTCAGGCATCACTGCTTCTTTGGGTAGGGTCCTGCTCTCTGCTCTTCTCCCTTGATGGTCCTAGGGACCTCCACTCCTAGACTGAAAAGTTAATCACTCCCCTCCTTGCTATAAAATGTCTACCTTTACATTTCCAACCCTCACAATCAGTCCTGATAACAATTATTCACTGTTGTATCACAAGAGCCCCGTCTGCATTTCATTGCATCAGCCCCGCCTAGACAGATTGGATACTACTCACTGGAGATTCTACCTTCCTCCAGGCCCTCTGGATCTAGGTTCCCTCTTGAAAGCTTGTAAGCCAGTCACTTCTTGCCTTTATAGCCCCCCACCTCCCATTTTGGGTAGCCAATGTCCAAGTTCAAGCCAGATTTTTTTGTAGTTGTTAGGTGCCATCAAGTTAGTACCAACTCATAGCAACCTTCTGTAGAGTTCCTGAGAGAAGCTGGTGGGCTTGAACAACTGACCTTGCAGTCCAGTGCATTATCCTGAAGTGCCACACCAGGATTCCAAGCCAGATTTAGAAGATATGGAATAAGGGATATCATTGTTGACTTCAGTTGGATCTTGACTGAATGCAAAGAATGCCAGAAAAATGTTTACTTGTGCTTTATTATTATATTTATATTGAAAAGTATACAACCCTGTGGATCATAACAAACTATGGAAAACATTGAGAAGAATGGGAATTCCAGAATCATTAATTGTGCTCATGCAGAACCTGTACATAGACCAAGGTAAAAGGAATTCAAACAGGACAAGAAGATGGTTTAAAATCAGGAAAGGTGTGCATCAGGGCTGTATCCTTTCACCATGCTATCCAATCTGGATTCTGTGCAAATAATCCAAGAAGCTGGAGTATATGAAGAAGAGCAAAGTATAAAGATTAGAGGAAGCCCCTTTAAAAACCTGAGGTATTCAGATGACATAACCTTGCTTGCTGGAAACTAAGAGGAATTGAAGCACTTACTGATGAATATCAAACACTACAGCTCAATGTGGACTTCTGATGTGGTGCTGTAGTATCAGTACTGGACTGGGCACCAAAAGGTCAATAGTTCAAATCCACCAGCTGCTCCTCAGAAACCCTATACAGGGTCACTATGAGTCAGAATCAGCTTTACAGCACTTAGCAACAAAAACACCTCAATGTAAAGAAAAAAATCCTCACAATTAGATAAATACCATCATGATGGAATAAAGAATGAAGTTATCAAGACTTTCATTTTATTTGAATCCATCATCAAAGCTTATGAGCATAGTCAGGAAATCAAGGGATGTAGTGTAATGAGGAAATCTGCTGCATAAGACTCTTTAAAGTGTAAAAAGCAAAGATGTTGCTTTGAGAACTAAGGCATACCACACCCAAGCCGTGGTCTTTTCAGTTGCCTCTAATGCATGTGAAAACTGGCCAATGTATAAGAAAGACTGAAGAAGAGTTGATGCATTTGAATTATGGTGAAGATTATTGAAAATACTACGGACTCTCAGAAGAATATGCAGATCAGTTTTGGAAGAAGTAAGGACTCCTGGTGTGGCACTTTTGGTTAATATGCAGGACCTCAAAGTCCACTTGAACCAGGCAGAAGGTCTGCGGTTGAAGCTCACCAGCTATTCCTTGGAAACCATATACAGTGTCACTATGGGTTGGAACCTGACTCGTCGTCGGCACTTAACAACAACATCAAGGCTTGATTGATACTTAGAAGTGAGGATTATGAGACTTTGTGTCATGCATTTTGGACTTGCTATCAGGAGGAGAAGGCAACATGGATGTTAAAGTGTTGTTGTTGTTAAGTACCAGTGAGTTGGTTCTGACTCATAGCAACCCTTTATAGGTCCAAGGATTGACTGGTGGGTTTGAACCACAGATCTTGTGGTTAGAAGTTCAGTGCTTACCCTACAGCAAAAAAGAAGAAAACTCCAATGAATTAGATTGACACAGTGGCTTTAACAATGTGCTCAAACAACAGTTGTGAGGATTGTGCTGGACCAGACAATGTTTTGTTCTATTGTACATAGGGCGACTGTGAGGTGGAACCTAATTGATGCGCCTAACGCTCCAAGGCACCTAACAACCAGAAGCCTGATTTGGTAAAAAGTCAACTAAGAAACTATTTTCATAGTGTCATCAACTTACTGTACTTACAAGCAGTGATCCTTTTCTAGTCTTGATTTATAAGGATTTCATTGGTACTGGACTCTCAGAGTTAGTATTCTGTGCGCTAATTTTGATGATGTTGACACGCATTGTGATGGATAGGTGGAGACTGCAGTCCACAATGTGTGAGACTCTGATTTGGTGGGCTTGCTTGTGCTGAGAAGTGGGATTTAACCCTCACCAATGCATGGTCTACTTTAATTTGATGTTGTAGGGAAGAAAGTTTCAACACCGTTAGTGAGTTCTTTGATACCTTAGTAAAGCTTCATTTCATATAGTCTCAATTGTATTCGCTGAAATGCAGAACTTCCTACTTATGTCTTAAAGAAGATTCAGTTTACCTAAGAATGGCACCAGAGGGACCCAAGGAGTCAGAGAACACTTACAGGCAGTCATTTTGGCATTGTCAGAAAACTTTTTTAAATTTAAAAGTGGTAGTCTGTTTTCTACTCAGTGCAGAAATGGTTATGGAATCCTGGTGTGGCACGGTAGGATAAGTATTCAATTGCAAGGTGGGTTTGAACTTCAAGCTGGGTGATTCTAATTCACCAGTGGTTCCTGGGAAACCCTAGACAGGGTCACTATGAGTCAGAATCAACAATACTGCACTTAACAACACTCAACTTCTAGCAAGAAGATAGGCGGTTCACATCCATCCAGAGGAGGCACCTTTTGTGTCTTACAACAAAAATAACCTTTTGGGGAGCCTATTGAAGCCACTATTTTGATGTCTTCATGGGAATGTTTTTTAATGTTATTGAAAAAACTATGATTAATTAGAGATGGAGGCAGTCCCCATGTTATGAACAAGATCCATTCCTATATGTGTCTTAAGTAGAATTTGTAGGTGAGTCTAACAGGTGAATATGGTTTTTATTTAGTCTTACTTTAGTTCAAGAAAATGCTTGAAGCCTTTTCAAAGATTTAAAAGCTGCAAGCACAGCAAGTGTGGTGATTGTGATGAAGAATTTGTTGCAAATATAGCTTGGCTCAAGGAGCCCTGGTAGCATAGTGGATTCTGAGCTGGGCTGCTAACTACAAGGTCAGCAGTTTGAATCTACCAGTCACTCCTCAGAAGAAAGCTAGATGAGGCTTTCTGCTTCATTTACAGATATACAGCCTCAGAAACTTTCTGCCGCCGGGTCAGGGTCACTATGAGTCAGAATGACTCAGTAACATACAACCATCACCACTACCACCTGGGCGTGACTCAGTCCTTTCAAAGTGAGAACAAATTTACATACCATTAAAGGGCATGTAGTCCTGAAGTCCCCAAATTGTGCATTCCTAATTGGATACTTGTAAATCTGTTTGAAAAACTAGAAAATAGTGCCCAGAGGGTAAATGAAAGCTTTATTCAGTTCTGTATTCAGAGCAAGTGCCCTTTATCGAAAGCTTCTGCTCAGCTTCATCTAAGTAGAAGGGTTATGGTACAATCTCTCTACTTTCCGTACACTGGACCTTAACATCTTTTTTCCCAGCTAATTTGGGCATAGGAATCCCTCTCCTGGCCAGCAACTTTATCAGTCCAAATATGACTGTTCATCTTCAAAGTGAAAATGGAGTCCTGGGTTTGGTAAGATGGAAATTTATATTTTATTCATTCTGTTTTGATAGAAAATGAGATGTTTCAAATAGTGAAATCTTTCATCACTGAGGCAGTTGTTTAGCATAAACTTCCCAGCCTTGTTTTTCTCTCTCTTCACCATCATGATAAACTGTTTAACTTTCCCCTTATAAAGCTGGTAACTGAGAATGCCTAGTTTTGCATTTGGTGCAGTAAGCAGTAATCTCCTGGCTGTCAGAGCTCTCTGATTGCCCTGCCCCTACAGCCTTGTCCATCTGACAGCCTGTCAGCTGCCATCTCCCCTCTCACTGTCCCTGCATTTAGCTGACTATTTCTAGCTTTTCTATGATTGGACAGCAGCTCGCAATGGCTCCATAGGATAAGCACTGGACTGCGAACCCCAGGGTCTGCATTAAGAGCCTGCCAGCCTTTCCAACGAAGAAAGATGAGGCTTTCTGCTCCTGTGAAGATTTAAGGCCTTGAAAACTCTACATAGGACCCCAGTGAGTCAGAACCCAGTGTTACGGGAGCAGAACGCCTCATCTGATAATCTATAAATGTAAACTATAAACTAACAACAATCTGATTGGACAAGATAATGAATGTTAACAGTTCTGTGTTTAAAAAAATCAGTGAGGCTTTGAGTGAGAAACTGAAGAATAAGTTTTCTGCTTTAAGACAGGGACTTAAGGGATAATTCAAAAAGTCATAAAAGTTAGTTTCATTCTTAGTTTGAGAGTATTATATAAAGGGAAGAATTTTCTCTTCCAGAGATTAACTTTCCAAATAAATTCAGTATTCTCAATGAATTGTTGGTTAGTGCTGTCAAGTCAGTTACAACTCATAGCGACACTATATAGGGTGTTCAAGGAGTGGCTGGTTGGTTTGAACTGCTGACCTTGCAGTTAGCAGTCCAGCATTTACAGCACCATCCCAGTACTCCCTCATTAAATTAGGGTATACTTTTATTAAATATTATAATAAAATTAAGAAATACTTTTGCTTCCTAGATGACATTTTAAATTTAATTTTAACTATATTGTTGATGAGTGCTACCTAGTTGCTTCAGACTCATAACAATTCTCTGTAGTAGGGGTGGTGGTGGTGGTGGTGGTTAGGTGCTGTGGAGTTGGTCCAACTCATAGTGACCCTGTACAGGATTTCCGAGGTTGTCAATCTTTACAGGAGCAGAGAGCCTCATTTTCTCCCATGGAACAACTGGTAGTTTTGAACTGCTGACCTTGAGGTTAGCAGCTCAGTTCGTAACCTCCAACAAGATGGATTGGCAAAATGGCAGCATCAGTGGGCTCAAGCGTGGCAACCATTGTGAGGTTGGCCCAGGACCAGGCAGTGTTTCGTTCTGTTGTGCATAGGGTTGCTATGAGTCGATACTGACTTGATGGCACCGAACAACAACAACAACAAATGCTACCAGAGCTCCTTATCGCAGGCGTGGGGAACCTTTTTTCTGCCAAAATTTATAACATCAACCCTGTATAGGGTTTCTGAGGAGTGGCTGTTAGATTTGAACTGCCAACATTGTGGTTCAAACCAACATTGCAGTCCAGTGCTTATCCTACAGCGCCACACTAGGGATTATTTATAATTTGCTAATTTATAATATTCTCATCTTTTATTGTTCTTAGTAGATCTTAACTGTTAACATAATAAAAATTATTCACATTGAAAATGCATTGTCAGTGTTTAAATATAACAAATGATCATGGCCATGTAGTTGATAATGATTAATTCAGATAATTATCAAAATGAACATTTTCAAAGATAAGAATTATGTGTGTCTGGATGAAAATCAGATTTAGGTTAAAGTCAAAGACACAACTTGTATTTAAGCGTTCTTAGAACATATCCCTGAATCCCTGGTTGCACAGTGGTTAAAGCACTCAACTGCTAACCAGAGGAAAGTGGTTTGAAGCCACCTGCCGCTCTGTAGGAGACAGGTATGCCAGTTTGCTTTCATCATGACTTACAGCCTTGGAGACCCCATGCGGCTGTTCAACTTTGTCCTATGAGTTCACCTGAAGCTGGAATAGACTCAGTGGCAGTGAATTTGGGTTTTGGTTGATTTAGAGGTTATCAGATGAGGTGTTCTGCTCCCGTAAAGATTTACAGCCTCGGAAACCCTGTGCAGAATCACTATGAGTCAGAACCGACTCCACGGTACTTAACAACAACAACAATGTGACCAACTCCTTAATTTTGCAGACAAGGAAAATACTTTGATGAGAAGCACCCTGGCCAATGTTTAGAGGAACAAGTATACATGTCTAAAATATTAGTTGCAAATTTAATTTATACATTACATTTTAAAATGTCACAGTCAGTATTTCCTCTACTAGCCTCATTTTTGGTTTTAGCTCACACCTTTTTCTTTTTACTATTAAGGAGACCTGGTAACATAGTGGATTATAAGCTGGGCTGATAACCATGAGGTCAGCAGTTTGAATCCACCAACCACTCTGAGCAAGAAAGAGACTTTCTGTTCCCTAGGAAACCCTATATAGGGGTCACAATGTGTCAGAACTGACTTGAAGGCATACCATTACCATGATTATTAAATATTTTAGGAGTCTTGGTGGTGCTGTAGGGTAAGCACTGGACTGCTAACTACCATGCTGGCATTTAAACCTACCAGCTACTTCATGGGAGGAAAATGAGGCTTTTTGTTCCCATAAAGGAGTCCTGGTGTGGCACTCTGAGCTAATGCAAAGTCGTTTGAACTGCAAGGTCGGTGTTTCAAGCTCACCAGTTGCTCTTTGGAAACCCTATACAGGGTTGCTGTGGGTCAGAATCTACTAGATGGCACTTAACAACAACAACATTCCCATAAAAATTTACAACCTCAGAAACCTAATCCAGAGTCACTATGAGTTGAAATTGACTCAATGGCAGTGGATTTGGTGTTTGGTATATGTTATTTTATGAAGCTACTCACATCATTCAAATAATTTGTTGACACATGTTGTTAAGTGCTACCGAGTCGGTTCTGACTCATAGAGACCCTATATAAGATTTCTGAGGATGGACTGGTGAACTTGAACCACCGACCCTGCAGATCAAACTGACCTTGCAGTCTAGTGTATTAATCCACAGCGCCACACCAGGACTCCTTCAAATTATAAGAGATGCCTTATAAAAATATATACAAAAGTTCAGAAGTAACCAAGAATAACTAGACAAAGGGACAATAAGGACATAAAGATTAGATGCAGTGAAAGGTAAGATTAGCATTTCAAATTCAGATTTTTAGGTCCTGCACATCAGAAATATGAAACTTTGCCTCTGTGGCTATTGTCTGGCAAAAATAATATAATAATTTAGTGTGTACTCATTGATAATACTGGAAGGTTGGTGAATAACTTTGTCTGTATAGTTGTTGTTAAGTGCCATCGAGTCGATTCCGACCCATAGCGACCCTGTATAGGATTTCCAGGGAGCAGCTAGTGAGCTTGAACCACCGACCTTGCAGTTCAAATGACTGCGGTCTGACGCAGTAGCCCACACCGACACACTAGGACTCCTGGCTGTATAGTAGGTACCAAGTAATTAAATTTTGATTTATTGAATTATATTTCTAATAACATTTCTTTCAAATGTAGAAAATACTTTTTATTTGTCCAATCAATATTGCTAATGTGGAAAAACCATAAGAAACACTGTCATAAATATAGGAAATATTTGTAAAAGCTCAACCTAAATCTTGTGATGCTCATCTCGTAGGGTTTGGGTGAAAGAGACTGATTTCATCTTGGTTCTAGGATGGAATTCAGTGGGAAACTTCTGTCACTAACCGAAGGCATGCTTTGTTTAACAGGGTCCATATCCACTACAAAACGAAGTTGATGCAGATCTAATCAATGCAGGTAACTGCACTTATTATTACATAGAGTTCTAGTGTTTTAGGGTTTTTCATATTTTTGATGTTGTTATTAATTTAGTTCTGTGCCAAATAGCTTATTATTACATAGATTTCTAGTGTTTTAGGGTTTTTCATTTTTTCGTTTTGTTGTTGTTGTTATTAATTTAGTTCTGTGCCAAATAATAATAATGATTTGGCCTTGACTTTTTATGTTTTCTTGGAGAGTACTCCATTGTATTTTTGGTGCTTAGGGAAGATGTCTTCCCAGTCTCTGCCTGGCTTGCTTGCTCAAGGTTTCCTGTCACTCAGATTAGATTAAAATAAAGGAAAAAAATGCAGGTGGAACATGGGACAAGGTTAATGTAAAGGGCTTTAATGGAACAGTCATTTATGGTCCTAGCTGTAAATAGATGGTGGTGGTGTGCTGTGGAGTTGGTTCTGACTCATAGCAGCCCTGTATAGATAGGGTTTCTGAGGCTGTAAATCTTTATGGGAGCAGAAAGCCTCATTTTTGTCTCACGAAATGGTTGGTAGTTTTGAACTTCTGCCCTTGTAATTAAAAGCCCGACTCGTAACCAATACGGTACCAGAGCTCCTTCATAAATAGATAGCATTTTCAAATGGGGTAACTGTGTAGAGTTTAAGGAAGGGTTAATAAGTAAGGGTGTGGATATGGTTTAAGGGCAACTGGCAAGAGATGGTGAAGTACCAAAGGGAGCTGTTATCAACCACACATTAAAGGAGCTAGAGCTCCTGGTAGGAGGAACACAGCCAACTTGCAGCAACCCAGGTGGCATGCTTCTTTTCTGCTAGGTCTCCTCTTTGCGCCTCCTGTTGGACAATACCAACTCCAAATAGGTCAGCTGCTTCAGGATGGAGAAGGGTAAAGAGTGAATCTGTAGCAGCAAAAATAAAGAAAAGATCCTGCACATTGAATTTTTGTCAGAAACAGTACTACAGTCCTTTCGTCTTACAGCAGTGGGAGAATATTGTCCAAAGGTACAAGATGCATTAGGATGTTTCTGCTCCTCAATACAATTCAGTGATGTGAGCAGTCTAGAGTTTATTTGAATCATGGACTTAGCCTTATCATTTCTTCTTCTGCACTCCTGAACTTTAATTTTTATGAAACACATTTGTTGTTGTTGTTGTTAAGTGCCATAGAGTCAGTTCCGAACCATAACAAGCCTGTATAGGGTTTCCGAGGAGCAGCTGGTCAGCTTGAACCACTGACCTTGCAGTTCAAACAGCCTTGCAGTCTGGCGTATTAACCCACAGCACCATACCAGGATTCCATTAGACACATTAGGGGGTTTCAAAAAGTTCGTGGAAAAATTCTGTTACCTTTTCATTACATTTTTACAGCCCCCTCATATTTTTGACTGGGGCATAGCATCACATCTATTACCTGCTGAGTGGAGGGAGAACCAGCCAAGACTTTTGCCCACTATTCGAACTGTGCTTGAGGCAGTGTTGCTGCCTATAGTGAGGTGGTAGATTCTACCTGCAATGTGCTTGCCCGTGAGAAGCTAACTTTGATTTTTCTTGCATGATTTTATGCACCCTTCATTCTTATTCCTATTCAGTCTACCCCCACAAAAGTATTATTCTTACTTTAGATTTAAAAATAGCATGTGTAAATCTCAGAAGAAAAGTAATATGAGCAGAAAGGCCAGCTGCCAAGTGGAATTGATGTTTGGTACTTAGGATTGGGGAAGTAAAACAGCTTCCAGTTGAATAGTTGAATTAGGTAATACAAGTCAACTCTGAAAAGCCTTCTGTGATCAAGCAATGACATTTAACCAAGGCTGTAATTTAATTGTACTCTACCCTTTAGCAATGGCTCATTGATCTGTGAAAATATTTGCTGCTTGGTTTAATTAATTTATGATGTTAGTGAGTTATTTGCAAAATGAATAACGGCATTTTCTGCATTTCAGGCTTCAGTCCCTAAACTGCCTTTCCTTGGAAAAGTAGTCAGTCTTTTCAGTGACATTGGTAGACAGGCATTTTTGATTCCATTGAGGTTGCGAGTGGCTCAATTCTCATGAAGCCACCAGTGTTGTATTTCAACCTCTGAAGAACCACATAGAATTTATACTAATTTGTGAAACAGGAATTCGTTGTTTATGGGAGACCAAGCTGCAAATTGTTTTAATAATATTGTAAACCCTGTATAGGGTCACTCTGAGTTGGAACTGACTCAATGGCATTTAACAACAACAACTCATCAAAACCCTTTTCATGATTTTTTAGCCCCTTTGATTTTGAAGCTCTCCAAATTAGGAAAGAAATGCTTTGAACTGGAGAATGCAGAATATACATTGGTGCTTTCCTCAACTCCCAAATTACCTGCAAATACCTGGAAGATCAGCCCATTGTTTGTGTTCCTTTGAAAAGATTTGTATGAAAATCACTTTAAATGAACACAAACTTGTGTTTCTGGGTATAATCAGTGTATTTAAATTTAAAAATAAAATTGGGACTATGGTTAAGGCTCTCTTCTGAATAATTATCTTATGTAGCAGAGAGTCATGGTGTGGTGCTGGAGGAGAAAGCACTGGACCACAAGGTCGGTTTGAGCCACAAGGTTGGTGATTCAAACCCACCAACTACTTCCTGGGAACCCTATACAGGGTGGCTATGAATTGGAACCACTTAACAACACTCGACTCCACTTAACAACAAACACCATGGTTTCATAAAAAAGAATTACTGTTTGTGTGTGGTGCTGTGGGCTAATGCAGCAGACTGCAAAGTCGTCTGAACTGCAAGGTCGATGGTTCAGGCTCACCAGCTGCTCCTTGGAAACCCTATACAGGGTCGCTATGGGTTGGAGTTGATTTGACAGCACTTAACAACAACAACAATATTGCTAACCTCAAGGTTGGTGGTTCAAACTCAGGAGCCACTTCTTAGAATTACAAGGTTGCTATGAGTCAGAATCAACTTGACAGCACTTAACAACAACAACAATATTGCTAACCTCAAGGTTGGTGGTTCAAACTCAGGAGCCACTTCTTAGAATTACAAGGTTGCTATGAGTCAGAATCAACTTGACAGCACTTAACAACAACAACATGTGGCATACAGTATTGTGGTGGCTCTTTAAGATAAGTACTGGACTGTGAACCACAAGGTCAGTGGTTTGAGCCCACCAGCCACCTCATGGGAGAAAGATGAGGTTTTCTGCTCTTGTTAAGATTTCCAGCCTGGAAAATCTTATGTTGTCATTAGGTGCCTTTGAGTCAGATGCAATGCATAGAGACCCTCTGCACAAGAACATGAACCACGGCTCGGGCCTGCACCACCTTCACATTTGTTACTGTGAAGTCCATTACTGCTGCTGCTGCTACTGTGTCAATAATCCATCGGATTGGAGGTCGTCTTTTTTCACTGATTCTCCACTTTACCAAGCATGATGTCCTTCTCCAGGGAATGCTTCCTCCTGAGAGCGTGTCTGAAATATGAGAGACAAAGTCTTGCCATAAGGAGCACTCTGGTTGTTCGTCTTTCAACAAATTTATTTGTTCTTCTTGACACTTTTAATATTCTTCTCCAACACCATAACTCAAGAGCATTAATTCCTCTGCAATCTTCTATATTCATTGTCCAATTTTCACATACATATGAGGCAAATGAAGATTCCATAACTTGGGTCAGGCACACCCTTAGTCCTCAAACAGAATACTTACAGAGGTCTTGGGCAGCAGATTTGCCTAATACAGTAAGTCACTTGATTTCTGGCTGTTTTTTGCTTTCATCAGTGGTTATAGTGGATTCAAGCAAAATGAAGTCTTTGACAAGCTTAGCCTTTTCTCCATTTATCATGAAGTTTTATTTTTTGGTTTAGCTGTGAGGATTTTTGTTTTCTTTACATTGAAATGCAATCTATCCTAAAGGCTGTAGTCTTTGTTCTTCATCAGTATGTATTTTAAGTCCTCTTTGCTTTCAGCAATCATTATCATTTATATATCACAGGTTGTTAATGAGTCTTCCTTATTATCCAGAGAATGTCCTTTTAAGTCATAAGTCAAAGGAATTGATAACTTTGAAATTTAATGACTCTTTTTGCCAAGTATCATTAAAGGACTTAGACATGTACATTGAAAGTTAGGAGAAGACAAAAAAATCAATCAGAAATAACCAAATAAGGAAACCCTCTTTGTGTGACATTGATTATAGTTACATAATTTTTCATGACCAGATTTGGGCATTGTTTTTAAGGGAGAAAAAAAAAAAAAAGTGCTCCAACTTAGAATATTTACCTTTGCTTTGATATTATTTTAAAATGCTGACTATTAAGTTTGCTTCAGAAGAATGTAATTTGTAAGATGCCGGAATGCATTCGTAGGGAACTGACAAAAACTTGTTTTCAGGAGAGTTATTTTCCAGGCTCTTGAATAATATTTTGCTTCATAAATCATATTTTTGTTGTTGTTAAGTGCCTGCAATTTGGATCCAACTCATAGTGACCCTGTATATGGTTTCCAAGGAGTGACTTGTGGGTTTGAACTGTCAACCATGTGTTAAGCAGGCAATTCTAAACAACATCAGTGATTAAGTGATCAGATGTTTTCCACTGTGACCCCTGCACCCTGCTGCCCTCTCACTTCTTCCCATGTTACTGCATTTTGGTAAAGGTAGTCTTTTAAGGCTTTGTTGTTGTTAGGTGCCATCAAGTTGGTGCTGACTCACAGCGACTTTACTTTTAAGGGAACGAACTTCTTATTTTACCATGATCCCCATAAAAATCTAATAGCCGTTTTTCTTTTCCTCTCTTTCTTTTGTGTGTGTTTAGGCAAGGAAACAGTCACTGTTCTTCCAGGAGCCTCTTATTTCTCCAGTGATGAATCATTTGCAATGATTAGAGGGTATGTAATAACTGGGCCCCTCATGTTCCACCTGGTGGGGATTGAGCTGAGTCATCCCGAGGGAGTTAGCAAGGCTCTGAAACCAGGGCTTCAAACCGGTTCATTCCAATTTGATACCCTACTCAGAATTTTCATTTCCACCCTGTATACTGAATCCGAATTTGCATTTCAAGGAGCTCTCTCTCTCCAGGTGAGCTTATGTATGCATAACATTTATGATTCCATAGATCTGTGGTGGAAAGGCAAATTCTCAGCAGAGGGGCAAACTGTAATGAGCCAGTTAAGAGCCGTTTCTGAAACACAGCACATCTCCCAGCTGGACTATATGTGAAATAATTCACAATTAATGCTGGGGAATGAAATATCTAGTCTGCTATTATTAAAGGAACCCAGAAACAGGAAAACATATTCATGTGTGTCAATTGTATAGGAGTAAAAATTGCTAAGTTTTGTTTTTTTCCCCCCTTGAGGAACAAATATTTTCTTTCGACTGTATTCACTATCTAGTGGTTGCCCTCAAATTGAGTTGTATCAGAGCTTCCAAGGGATTCATTCTAGCTCTGCCCTCTGCTGAGAATGTGCATTTTCATCTCAGCTATACTGAATCAGAATCTACAGTTTAACAAGAGCCCCAGGAGATTCTTATGTATATAGAAGATCTAGTTAAAATTCTGATTCAGTATTCTCCGCAGGCAATTAAACTGGAATGAACTGGTTTGAATTATCCACTTGGCAGCACTTAACAACAACAAAATGAAACAAATTCACTAAGAACGCTTGTTTTACATTTGATTTTGGAGCTAATGTAGGGTATAATTTTGTTGTTGTTGGGTGTCATCTGGTCAGTTCTGACTCATATGCACAACAGAACGAATCACTGCAGGGTCCTGTGTGTGCCATCCCTACAATCTTTGCTACTTTTAAGCCCACTGGGTCAATCCATCTCATTGGGGTGGGGGGCTTCCTCTTTTTTGCTGACCTTCCACTTTATAACATATCCAAACTATAAGAGAGGAAGTTTCGCCATCCTGGCTTCTAAGGAGCATTCTGGCTATACTACTTAATGCTTATTTCTCTATATGAAAAGAAACGGATAGTAAGTGTGAGCTTAGAGTTGAAATATGTGGAAATCAGTTGTGGGGTGGGGGAAAGCAAATGCATTTTGGAATGTTTGTTGTTGTTGTTGTTAAGTGCAAGTGCCCTTGTGTCGGTTCTGACCCATAGTGACCCTGTATAGGGTTTCCGAGGATCAGCTGGTGAGCCTGAACCGCCGACCTTGCAGTTCAAACGGCTTTTTTTGTAAGGTAGAAGAGCATTAATTTTAGTTGATGGTTTTTAGCAAAGGGTACATAAAATTTGTGAATTGTGCTTCATAACTCCTTTTTTCTTTCTTTCTTCAGGGGTCATGTCGATCTTACAATGCTAGGAGCGATGCAGGTTTCTAAATATGGTGACTTGGCTAACTGGATGATACCTGTAAGTAGCAATTGTTTTTAAAATACTAAGAAAAGTCATGTCAGATTGATATGAGAGCACAAGATGAATATTGAATAATCACATTGAATAAATATTTCAATGTGTATTTCTTATATGAATTAAATTTTAATGAAGCAGTCACTAAGAAATATTCAAGTTTGCCAGTTTGGCTCTGTCGTTGGTACTAAAAATAGATGAGATTAGGACCAGAGCACTATTTTCTTAGAAATAAGTGTTGGAGAAGATGGACTAATTAGGCCCTGATGAAAGTAGGGACTATAAATATTTATCATAATTAAATTCTAGAAGGAACAATTAAGAAGGTCATTAATTTTATGTAAGTTCTACTATTTCCTTATTCATAGTGATTGAAATCCTCTTTGATCTGTCATATGATGCCATAAGTAATACATCACTTTGCTTCTATTATGGATTGTAAAACCTGTGACTTTTTCTTTTACATGAATGGCTTTATTTGAAAACGATACCAAGTAACATGCATCACTTTTGAATAGAAGCTGTAAGAGAAGAGTAACATGGGATTCACTTTTTTTTTTTTATTCAGTCATGGGACTAGCAATGTCCCAGAGAGAAAGGTATCCAGGTGTAGATAAAGATTAAATGTTGTAGGGCTCTAGGCAACTGAATGTTGGTGCGTGGAAAATAAATAAGCAAAAAAATCCACCCGAACCAACAAACAGGTCTTTTCCCAATGGGTTTCCCAATCTCTAGGTCTCAAGCCTAACCCAATAAAAAAATATCTGGAATATAGAATTTTTTCAGCTTTTGTGATTGAAATGCTGTAGCATTCTTTGTTGTTATTGTTGTTGTTGTTATGTGCCGTGGAGTCGGTTCTGACTCATAGCGACCCTGTACAGGGTTTCTGAGGCTGTAAATCTTTATGAGAACAGATAGCCTCATCTTTCTCCGGTGAAACAGCTGTGTCTTTAACATCCTTTTGTTTCTGAGATATTTACATGAACAAACATGTAAAGCTTAATCTCTCTGGTAGGTATCCATATTCTTGAAGTTTGAATTTTAATTACTAGGAATAATTGTGCTCCACTTCATCCCATTTCAACCACAACCAGCTGGAATACCAAAGAGGATTATATGTTCATTTTGGAATGAAATGTGTGGAATAAACCCCTTTAAAAACAAAGATTCTCTTTCTTATTTCTCACCATGGGTTTTATTCTTTATTTTCTGAGCCAATCTGTTATTTAGCTGAATACTAACCTCGGGATAGTTTTGGTTCAAGGTGAAAAGATGGTCTGTGGATGACGGTCTCGAAGAGTCCTCTACTCACAACTGATCCATCCAATAAGTCTGGACTTTTTAAGAATTTGAGTTTGGTTCTGCAATTCAGTTTGAACCACAAGGTTGGCAGTTCAAGCTCACCAGCTGCTCTCGGAAACCCTGAGGGTTACTATGGTTTAGAAATGACTCCACAGCACTTCACAACAACAACAATGCAGACTCCTGGTGTGATGCTGTAGGATCAACAGTGGACTGTAACCACAGGTCAGCGGTTGAAACTCACCAGTTGCTCTCTGGAAACCCTGTACAGGGTGCTGAGAGTCGGAACTGACTTGAAGGCACCTAATAGCAACTATGCCTGTGTTAGAATACCATTTGGAAATGGGCTTTCTTTCTTATGTTAATGATACAATATTAGTATAGGATGTGTTTTTAGTCAATCTGTTGAGATACAAAAGAAATTAAACAAGTAGGCAAGCAGGGATGAGGAGAGAGATGCACTAGGCCACATGAAAGAGAGTGACCAGGGACAGAAGTTCAGAGATAAGAACCTTTCCATTAGACATTGAGAAAAAGCCTTCCCTTTGACATTGCTTCCTGAAGTCAGACTTCTTGCCTCCCAAACTGTGAGAAGCTAAGTTTCTATATGTTAAAGTCACCCATTGTTATAGCAACACTAGATAACTAAGATAGAAATTGATGCTGAGAAGTGGAGGTGTTGTGCTGATGCCGGACACACTGCTTACCAAGCTAAGATGTAGACGGTAAACTTGACTAACTATGTTGTGCCAATTGACTGAATTATACCATGAGGCTACTGCCCTAAGCCTTTAAATCCAGAGAATCAAATTTACAATGTGTTTGTTATGTTGAGCAGCCCTGGTGGTACAGTGGGTTAAGCATTGGACTGCTAAGAAAAGGTTGCTGGAGGGAGAAAGATGAGATGGTCTTTATTTATCTTCATATATCTATTAGTATATATGAATAGATATACATGCATATACTTACTTGCATATATGTGTGTGTTTGATTCTGTATGATAAGCACTGGACTGTGATCTACAAAGTTGGTGACTTGAACCCACCTAAGTGAGAAAGATGAGGCTTTCTTGACTCACAAAGCTGTACAGACTTGGAAACCTACTCGACAATACTTAACACTAAAAACAACATATGTTTATACATATGTACACATATACACATATGTTGTTGGTGTTGTTGCAAAATTACAGATGTCTTGTCTTTTGCTTTTCTCTTGCGTATTTCATAGTGGTATCATTGACCTTGGTCAACCTGTGATGTTTAAAGATATTTATGAAATAAATGCAGCTTTCATTTAATAATGACCTGAATCCAGGAAGAAGCCTCTGAGAATTAGTTTTGGAAGAGAGGATTGTAATCAATATCTTAATTCATGAGTGTGGGTCATCTTATATTCTGATTTATTGCTTACCGATTGTGTGCACAGAAACAATGTCCATGATTATAAACTCATATGCAGTGACCCCTATTTGACTGGTAACTCAGGTTATTCTTACATGGATGATGTTTAAAGAATTCATGTGTTTCTATATAGCACTGGCTAAAAGCAGTTTGGTTAAGTGATTGAAGCTAGTATTCTATCTGTAAGATTTTTTTTTTTAATAATTTTTGAGGAAGGTAGACTCACATAGTTGATAAATGTTTCAGATTGTTTAGTTTAGTTCTTTTGAATTAACGTCTCCTGATGTTATTTGGAAATTTCGGTAATAATTAAATGTGTTTGCATGTTAGAATCACCTGTTGTTGTAAGGTGATATCTAGTCGGTACTGATTCATAGTGACCCTTATGCACAACAGAATGAAACAGTGCTAAGTCCTGGGCTAACCTCACAACCATTGCCATGCCTGAGCCCATTGATGCTGCTACTTGGCCAATCCATCTTGCTGGGGGTCTTCCTCTTCTTCTCTGACCCTCCACTTTACTAAACATGATATCCTGCTCCAGTGACTGGTCCCTCCTGACAATATGTCTGAAGTATGAGAGACAAAGTTTGGTCATGCTGGCCTACAAGGAGCACTCTGGCTGTACTTCTTCCAACACAGATCTGTTGATTCTTTTGGCAGACCATGGTACTTTCAATATTCTCCTCCAACACTGTAACTCAAAATCATCAATTCTTCTACAGTCTTCCTTATTCACTGTCCAGCTTTCGCATGCATATGAGGTTATTGAAAATACCATGGCTTGGGTCAAGCGCACCTTAGTCTTCCAGCTCACATTTTTGCTCCTCTCGACGGCACTTAACAACAACAACAACAACACTTTAAAAAGGTCTTATGCAGTAGATTTACCTAATGCAATATGTTGCTTGATTTCTTTACTGCTGTTTCCATGAGTGTTGTTGGTTGATCCAAGAAGATTGAGGTCCTTGACAACTTCAATCTGTTCTCTGTTGATAAGAATGTTGTTTATTGGTCCAGTGGTGAGAATTTTTGTTTTCTTTACATTGAGATGCATCCATACTGAAGGCTGTGGTCTTTGATCTTCATCAATAAGTATTTTAAGCCCTCTTCATTTTCAGCAAGCAATGTTGTATCATCTGCATATTGCAGATTGTTAATGAGTCTTCCTCCAATCTTGATGCCACGTTTTTCTTCATATATCCCAGCTTCCAATTTTCCCAGCTGTTTCTCTTCATTTTGAGTTGTGCCCCATCAGCAAATGAAGGTCCTGTAGACTTTACTCCCACGGTCTTTACTCCATTCTCATCATCAAGGTCAACTCTACTTTGAGGAGGCAGTTCTTCCCCACTGGCATTTTGAGTGCCTTCCAATCTGAGGGGTTCATTTTCCGGCACTATATCTGACAGTGTTTCTTGCTATTCAGAACATTTTCAGTGACTAGATATTCGGAAGTAGTTTGTCACTCCTTTTCCTAATCTGAAACCTGTCCACCCTGGGTGACCCAGCTGGTATTTAAAATACCTATGGCATAAGTTCCAGAATCACAGCAACTCACAAGCCACCACAGTACGACAAACTGACAGTTTAAAAAAACAATGCAGGCACCCCACTCCCCGAGATTCCTATTTAATTCATCACTGACTTTTCTTAATGTTCCACAGATGATTCCAGTTTTTAACTGAATGTGTTGAAGAATGATCACAATTCATATTTAAAATATGATGGAAACACCTTTAATCTATTAGTAGTAAGAACTCTCCATAAATTATAATATAAAATATTGGTCATCCTAAGTCAGCCATAGGCTTAAATGTTAGCACCTTTTGGAGTTTGGAGGCTTTAAGAAATCAGTGAGGATCTCCTAAGCATCTGACAATGAGTCAGACTGATGGTTTATGGGAACATTTGTTGCATAGGAAATCAGTATATTTCTACATGTAAGTTTTAGAGAAAGGCCATGTTGGATACTAAAAGGAGCATAGAAAACCAAACCCTGGGATTTTGCCTTGGTTCTGTCTAGTAATCAAGGGTAAGCTTTTTGTGTTAAAGTGTCCTCATCTGTAAAATGAGGACTGGATCATCTCAAGGATCCCTGCTGGGTCTCCTTGGATCAGAACACAGGCTCTGTGGTGAGACAGATCTCTAATGAAATTCTCTTTTTGTCATTTGGTAGCAGTGTGACCTTAGGTAGTTGGCTACTTTTCCCATTTGTGGAATGTGCATAACACAGGGTGTAGAGGGTGTGGTGAGGATTCAAACCATTCCCAGAAATGTCTTTTTTTTTTTCCATGAATT